CCTTTTCATATCGAGATTTAAAGCTTTCTGGTTCATCCTGTACAATGAAAAAAAAGAGCTATTACTAAATAAACCTCAATTTTACAAAGACAAATAACATTAATAAAGATACTCGCATCATCATCTATTTGGTTTGCTTCATGCAAGTTATCGTTATCTTTACGACGTCCTTAAAAAAATAATGACATTTAGTATTACGCAAGTTAACCAATGAGCGTAAATAAAACGAGGAAAGTAAATCCATACTTTTAGGAGTGGCTATATAACCACCTTTTGCACTGCTAATTTCTGAATAATAAATTAAATAATTAATATAAATATATATATATGTATAATCTAATTTTGTGAATTCCTACTTTTAGAATGAGGATCATCATCATCATCCGAGTTCGAAACGACCATAGGGTCGTATCTTTCTACAGAATTATGTTTTGATACAGTTGGATCATATTCTTGCGATATAATAACGTTCTCAACGTCCGATTTAATTGAAGAAAATCCAACATCAGCAAAAGGTTTTGAAGACGAAGATGGGAGTGATGAACTACGATATTCAGGAACATTTTCAATTGGAATTTTAGAATCAATCGGGTTCAATGGTTTAGAAAGATCGATGCCAGTAGATTCAACTTCAAAACTGTCATCATCGATTCCTTGTTTAATACGTTTTCCTTTTTCTAAAGTTACAGGAGGTGACTCTCTTCCTTTAAGTTGATTTAGCAGACTCTTTACACTTGGATGTTTGCGAACGTCATCCCAATTTTGGATTTTGAGTACATTTTTCTGGTACCTGTGAAGACCCCCAATATACCAATCTAAACTTCTGGAATTATTAGTGGCCATCTTGACACGCAAAAAATTGCAAAGATTGTTCACCGATATAGGAAATAATGAGTTGTCAGGATTTTTCCATCCTTTTGGCTCAGCAAGAGCAGCGTATGATTTAGCAACATTTTCAGAGTATTCCTTAGTTTTTTTTGAGGAATCTGCAGAATCTGACGAAGTCCCTGAGGCATCACCAAGCCTTGTTGAACTTGCGATACCTTGTAGAGATAAATTTTGAGCAAGTGTGGTTCCAGAAAAATTACTAGATGGAAGTGCAGCACCTTCGGCTAAAATCTCTTCAGAGTCAGACTCATCCAATGAAGTAACCGGAATAGCAGCTATTGGTTCAATGTTTGTTTGTCGTGGTGAAGATTCATCGCAACTTTGCATCGTGATTTGAAAAATTGTCGCGTTGTAATTAGGAACCCGAGAATTCTAACAAGACGGAAATTTGTTTTTATTGGATAATCATCAGTAATTCTGATTGGCTACAACATATGGGCTGATTTTTGCGATCTACAGTACGGGACAGTAAAAGATATCTATACATAGAGGCGCCAATTTTTGATGCTTATATAATCAATTCTGATTGGCTATTTTTGTGTAATTGATTCTGA